GGGGGGGGGGGGGGGGGGGGAGGGGGTACATCGCCCCCCCTCCCCCCCTTGTTCACCCCTCCCCCCCCAATACCCACCGCCTTTTTTCAAGGCGTCCATGCATGACCAGTGTTCGTCAGTTTAGATCAGGTCATCTGTTTCATGAATTTTCATCATTGCTCTGCATGTCTGATATTGGCTGATCATGTTTCAAAGTTGTTCATCATACGTGACGTGTTTCATCATCTCCCATCATTTTTCAGCAGCTTCCATGATTTGCCATAATTCCTCAACAGTTTTCATCAACCTTCAAGTCATCGTCAAGATGTTTCAGTATCTGTCATCAGATCTCATCAGATTTCATCGGATATCATCCTGTTTCATCATGTTTCAGAATTTCTCATAACNNTCGCATCATGTCACCACATTTCATCACAGTTCATCATATGTCATAAGTTTTAACCATGTTTCATCATACTTTTCCATCAGTTCATGATTTTCTTCATACTTTATGGTTTTCATCACGCTCATCAGTTTCATCATTTTTCATTTTGTCTCATCAAGTTTCATCATTTTTCGTAAGTTTTCATTAAATTTCATGGTTTTTAGCAATTCGTAGATCAAATTCAATCATGTTCATCATTTTGCATCGTGAAAATCGAGCTTTCGCCTGAGGTTTTCTAAAAACAAGAGAAACCCAGAAAGCACACACCAAAGAAATAAGAAAACACACACAACTTCCCAAATTAGCTGTGCTTCCAAGGCCTAAACCCTAAGTTCAGAGAGCTTGCATGCAGGTAATGTAGGGCCGCAATGATCAGCAAAATCATTTTAAGGTCTATTTTCGGTATCCTATGCCATCATTGTTCAGGGAATTCAGGACCACGATATGGATAATTTTGGCTAGAAACCCCTACATAAACCCAGTTTCCNNCCTAAACCCTAAACCCTTATCCAGACCAAGGTCACCTGATGAAGCTTGACACCCTCAACTTGGCGGCCCGGGTCTCGGACATTCCCTGGTTTAGGGTTTGTGGTTTGGGGTTTAGGGTTTAGGATTTGGGGTTTGGGGTTCAGGGTTTAGGGTCCAGGTTCATTCAGGGTTCAGGGTTTAGGGTTTGGGGTTTGGAATCTAGGGTTCAGGTTTTTAGGGTTTAAGGTTCAGGGTACAGGATTTAGGATTTAGGGATGGTTAGGTGCCCGCAGGTTGATCCACTGCTCTGGGTTTAGAGATTAGGGTTTAGGGGTCAGGGTTTGAGCTAAGGTCAATATTAGCCTCATAAAGGGACCCTTAGCAGTGGACATAGGGGTCCCTCTTGTAGTTTAGTACCCACGTCCAGTAAATTATGCGGGAAATATAGACTGTAACTCATGGAGGGATTGTCAAGTATCAGGGAGCTGGGTTTAGGGTTTAGGGTTGAGGTGTTTTGGGGTACTATGGGGGTTTGAAACCTTGCGTTCCAACCTTGACCCCATGTGCTCCAATGTTTCTTGGACCCCCAAAACGGGCCCGTAATCTTCTTTTGCAAAGCTCCATGCAGGCTTTGGGGTTTAGAAGGTTCTACGATGTCTTCTGCCCAGGGCAGCCAGGCCGAGTTCCTTCCCAGCGGAACGCACCTCCGAGACCTCTTCATCGAGGATTCGTCCCAGCTGCTTCTGCCGGCACTGGCGACCTTGGATGCAACTTCGGTTTTATTAGTACTATTGTCATTATTTGTTATGACTATTATTCTTAATCTATTTATTACTATTTATTATTGCTGTCATTGTGGTTATTCCTATTTTTACGCCTTATTGCTAGCTTCTTACCATCCCAAATTCCATTTTATTTTCCATTTAGTTCTTCATCATACTTGCTTTCCTGGTGATGGCTAGCGTAATCCAGCATGCCGCGTTCTGCTCAGAATAATGCGCGTGTGGAGCCAAGGTGTCAGACTGCCCTCTCAACGGGCCAGTGGAGGACCTCCTGCTGCCGCTGAGGCACCCTAAACCCTAAACCCTAAATCCCTAAACCCTAAACCCGAAACCCTAAAGCCTAAGTCCCTAAACCCTAAACCCTAGGTATATCCCTAAACCCTAAACCCTATATCCCTAAACCCTAAATCCTAAGTCCTAAACCCTAACTCTCCTAAACCCTAAACCCTTAACCCTGAGGGCTTGCGGGCACCTAGCCCGGCTGCTTGCGAAGCGAGCCAACCTCTCCGGGCACCTGCCCGACATTGCTTGTCTGAAGGATCAGAATGGGGGTTTAGGGTTTAGGGTTTAGGGTATTAGGGCTATACTGGGGTTGTATTGGGGTAGTGTTAGGATTATCGTGGGGTTATACTAGGGTTATATTGGGGTAATATTAGGGCTCTATTGGGGTTATATAGAGGTTATAACGGGATAATGGAAAATGGAAACTACTGTATTATGAATTACTCTAAATTGTAGCTTCCGTTTAATTATCCATTTTCTTTTCCATTTGATTTCCCATCATTGGGGTAATAATCTAGGGTCTGCCTGAAGGCCTAAACCCTAAACCCTGAAGGAAGGACATATCGACCGAGCTCTCTTCAGCAGCTACTGCGGACTGCCACTGTCAACATCGCTGCAGGCCTTAGATCTTTCAGGCAGCAAAGTGATTCCAAATGGGGTTATATTGGGGTAATACTAGGGTTCTATTGGGGTAATATTAGGGGTATATTCGGGTAAGATTAGGATTATACTGGGGTAGTATTAGGGTTGTACTTTTATCGATAAAAAACTGCATATGCAATACCATTTGGATCTTCCAGGCAACAGGATCCATGCCGTGGACTCGCTGAATGTGCACTCCTACGTGTCCTTTGCCGACCATCAGCAAATAACCTTCGCCAAGGGAATCCTGGAGGATGCCCTGAAGCATAACTTGCAGCTGGATCTGACGGGCACCGCAGTCACAAACACAGAGGAGATCTCCAGGCTTTTCAGCACAGGTGCTTTGAAGTTGACAGCGCAGTTGACCTCAATCAATGCCACTGCTGGCTACGGCTGCCACGGTGCGACATCCCGCTCGCTAAGGGTCAGTCCTCACTTGTTCTGGCCCGCAGGTCTTTGTGGCTGCATGGAGGGCTACCAAGGAAGGGACACCCAGTGCAGGCATTGCTCTCTCGGCTTCTACAACGATGCCTTCAACAGCAGTACTTGCCGCCCCTGTCCAGCCAACAGCAGCTCCCGGCCAGGGACCAGTTCGATTGACGGCTGCCTGTGCAATGTCGGCAGGACTGGAAGGGACAGGGGGACTTAGTAAGTAGGTTAATAACCCCTATAACCCATTTAATAACCCTAGTTATCCCCCTTGGAATGGAGAATCAAGTGCAAAAGAAGGTGGAACCAGCTTGGGGGTCTTTTGGCTGTACTACGGTTTTGGGAGAGGTGAGGGAGTCAATATGGGGACTGCTTCTGTTGCCGGTCTCTATCTACTCCCCCGCTCAGCTTCCGTAACCCCTATGTGCAGTGGCGTGTGACTTGTAATCGCATTTGTAGTTTTTCCCAGCTATAGGGCCCCTGAGACCCTATTCAAAAGCAGGACCAACTTATAGTTGCGAGGCAGGCTACAAGTAGCACTCCTCTACAAGTAGAGTTTAAATTTCAATGCTAAGCCCTAAACCTTAAATTCTGGACCCAAAGCCCTAAACTCCTAAACCCATCTAAAACCTAAAACCTACAACCATCTAAAACCTAAATCACTAAACCCTAAACCCTGAACCCTAAGCCCTAAACTCTAAATCCTAAACCCTAAACCCTGAACCCTAAGTCCTAAACCCAAAACCCTAAGTCGTAAGCCATGAGTTGGCAGGATGATTGCAGACGCCTCAGGCTACAAAGCCTGCCGCTGCGAGGCAGGGAATGCCTTGTACCAGCTCCTCGGACCTCAGTTGGGGGGATTTAGGGCTTTAGGGATTTAGGGTGTAGGGTTTAGGGATTGAGGATTTAGGGATTTAGGAATTTAGGGTTTAGGGTGTAGGATTTAGGGTTTAGGATTTAGGGTTTAGGGTTTAGGGTTTGGGGTTTAGGGTGTAGGATTTGGAATTTAGGGTGTAGCGTTTAGGAAATTCGGGTTTAGGGTTTGGGGATTTGCCAATTTCGAGATTCAATTTAGGTATCTAGGGTGAGATTTAGTTTTTAGTCATTGAAGTTGGGGATTTAGTCGTGTCCATAAGTAGGGCGCCCCTTGCTAAAGGGGTTTCCGGGACCCCTCCCTAAACCTGAACCCTAAACCCAAACTTCCTAACTTAAAGACCTAAATCCCTAGGATGAATCCCTGAACCCCTGGGGATAACATTCTTAAGGTTTGGGAATTTCGGATTTAGGGTTTAGGGATTAAGGATTTACGGATTCAGGCATTCAGGATTAAAGTTAGGGTTTAGGGATGTGGGGTTTAGGGATTGAGGTTAGCTAACGTATTGGTGTTGTGCAAAACTTGCATCACTTAGGTTCCTGAAAGGGTTCTATTTCTTTGGAGCTTGAGGTAGTGCAGACAGAGTCCTGTATTTTCTGCCAATTTTCCAGGGCTGAGAACGTGTTCGCTATGATCCGTCTTCTTAGGGGTAGCGCTGTGATAGCTATCTATATGTTTATTGGGTCGGTTCTGTTCCAGGGACGCCCAGTTCTCTAAGCCAAGCGGGTGGAGCAGTCCCACGTGCTCTCTTGACTCCTACTTGGAGGGCTTGGAGTTTAGGGTTTAGGGTTGTACCTCAATCCCACATATTACCCCCTAAGTTCCCTCCAATGGTTCTCAGCGGGTTGTAAGTAGAGGTCATGCTTTTAATTACATGGGATATGAGTACCAGTCAAAATTGGGCAGCTATGCTTACCCTGAACTCCAAGTGGTTTTCGCTTCCTCTAGCCCCACCTGTAATCCCAATTACCTACATTTTCATGAGCTATGCCTTTTGAGTATGGGCTAGCTACTATGAAGCTGCAGGCAACTGGGTTACTTGGAGGTGACTGGGGACAAGTAGGGCTATGCTATGGCTTATAGGGGCTAGATGTACGCTTACTACGTTCGCCGGGCCCTTGGCCGTAAAACCTAACCCTACATGGTATAATACTTTCCATTTTCTTCTCATTTCCTCAATCACTTACTAAGTCTCCTGACATTCAACCTTAAAGCCTGAAGCCTAAATCCTGAACTCTGAACCTTTTCACCCTAAACCCTGGACTCTACATCCCAAACCCTGCGCCCTAAACTCCCAAATAGACTTAAACCCCAAGCCCTAAACCCGAAACCTGAATTCCAAGTGCTCTCCAAGGGGCACCTGCCAAGACTGCGGCGCGCTCCACCTGGACCTGCCACGATCAGGGTTAGGTGTTACTGTACTGTCCTTAGGAATTATTTTTAATTTTCATTATAGTCTAATCCTGAGGAAAAATTAACATTTTTTCTTATTATGGGTCTAAGGAAACTACAGGTTAAGGGTCTGGGATCGAGAGCCAGTTAGGATTTGGAGACCTGAAACCCTACACCCTTACTCTGCCACTCCAAGACCATCTTGTAGAAGTTGGAGTGTATGGGGCTCTTGAGCGTAGCGGTGCGCTGTTTTGTTTACCGGCTAGCCATCTTCGACTTTTTTGCGGCTTGTTAAGATAGGATTCGCCAACTTTGACTGAGGACTCTCTGCTGCACGTTTAGCTCACTGAATGAACCGGTTCATGCACCGAACCCCATGGCCTCGCAGCTGGTGTTCTGAGAGACCCTGCTTTGAAACTTTCCTGGGTTTTCAACGCCGAAAGTCTCGTGAGCGTTCGATCTCGTACTGCAAAAGCTATCCCTACATAGCCTATAGTAGTTTCCATTTTCTTTTCCATTATCCCGTTATAACCCCAATAATATATAGACCCCTATATTATATATGGCATCAACCCTACACCCCGAAGTCTAAACCGTACCGTGCAGGAGTGCCCTCTGGGAAGCACAGTGGAAACAGCGATGCCTGAGGTGGGGTCCGGCAGTGTAGGCTTCTTGTGGTTAGTAAGAATAGTAGTAATAATAATAGTAATGGTAATAATGTAACGAAAGCAATGATAGTAATAATAGTTGGGATCCAGGGCTTAGGTTGGGATGGGATTTTGCAGGTTGGAGGCTGAAATTCTTGGCAGTGCAATTGTTTCCCAAGGTCAGCCTCCATTTTGATGTTGCGGTCTTGGCACAGCCAGACTTTCTGGGAGAGCCCCGAAGCAAAGAGCAGGGAGCCCATCCACTTCAACTTGGGTGACAAGCAAAAACAACGAAGAGAAGGAGATGGAGGTTCTTTTCTTAAGAGCAGTATAGGGGCACACAGAGGGAGTGTCTTGAGAAAAGGTAGCACTGAAACTGGTATGCTCGCATGCATGCTCACCCTTAATTCCTGTAGAACCTCTTGCAAAGCTATCCTCCTAACGGCCAATCGATTTTGCAGCGGCTCCTGTCGCCGTCAACTCTAGACCCTTCACCCGAAACCCAGAATAACAGTCTTCCCGGGGCACCAATAGGACGCCGTGCTGGAACCCGCGCTGTCATGAGTGTCTCGTGTACAAAAACCCTGCCTAAACCGGAAATCCCTCAACCCTAAACCCTAAGCCCCTCAACTCCAAACCCCAAACCCCTAAACCCCTAAACCCCTCAACCCCTAAACCTAAAGGGCCTTCAAGCTCCCCGGAGTCGGATGAGTTGGCACTGTGTTTCTGTTTTTGTCCGCCTTGTAGGCCTATCTTCATGCAACACCTGCAAAGCCAAACCTTTCAACAATCCAGGAAGCCCATAAAGAGCCCTTACTTACCTAGAATCCCCAAACCTTTCCGCACTCGCGGAAGCCCATAAAGAGTCCTTGCCTAGAATCGGTAAACTCCAAGGGCTGAAGAGCCTTTCTGAGGTGGGTTATGCTCGCCTGGTACCCCATGCTGCGGTGGCTCACAGGTCAGGGAGCGATCACAGCCATGCAACTACAATAATTAGTGCGTTGAGGGATGATGTAGGGACTCGGAATTCTAGGGCTTAAAGGGTTCTAGCTTTCATGAATTTCCTTTGGCTTGCGGGAAGTCTTTGTGGGTGTTGCACATGGTGTGGGTGCTAGCAGGTTGCAGAAGTACAGCTTGCTTCCAGAGTGTGCGTCCTGGGCCCGGGAATCCACTTTTCACGCATGCGCTTGAGAGTAGAATCTTTTTGTTGCCCGCAACAGTGGCGGCATATGGAAGGTGCCTAGACCCCGATGAAGAGCGGTGCAACGCTTCGGGAAGCACCTCAGATTTGGGCTGTAGCACAGGTTGCCTGGCAGCGTTTAACGTGGGCTGTGCTCAGACCAGACTGTCAAGGGCTATTGGTCCTGCTCTGTTCTAAGGCTATGAAGGTCCTCTGTGCATTGCCTGCTGGGAGGGCTACCGAAGTCGCGGCCTCCGCTGCGTCAAGTGCGCTTCTGGCGACACTCGCCGTGCGGCGACTGGCACCGGGATCATGGCTGGCGGCGTTGCAGCTGTTGTTGCCGCTGCGGCTTACTACTGGAGGAGCAGCTGCCCAAACGCTCTGTTCTCGTTGCAATGTAACAAAGTGTGTTCTACTTTGTCAACATCTTATCCGGCAAGCTGACATGATCTGGCAGGAGCCAGGCGGCAACAGTCGCAGCACCGCCGAAGAAGAGCGCGCCTAGCTCGCAGGAGGCAGGTATGTGGCAGGGCAGGGTCCTGACTGAATGAACGAGGACCACCTGGGCCCTATGCACTGGCTGGATGATTTTCCAGTGACATTCTTCCCGCATTGGGGAAGTGTTTCTTGGGTTGGGGCTCAGCTGAGGTCCTGCAGCCTCTGCTCACTGCTCAGTTCGCTGTTCTACTCCAGCTCTTTCAGCTCTGGGGTGTGCTGCTTGGCCCGCAGTGCAACAGAATCTGTCACGGCGGGCTATGAAAGGCACATGTCTGACGACTAGCCAGAGTGAGCCTTCCCTTCCTTGCTAGGGCTTAGGATCCTAATATCAAGGCCCTTAAAAGGGGGGGTTGTTAATCCTGGGTCCCCAATATGAACCCTATGATCCCTACATAACCCATTATAGTAGTTTCGACTTTCTTTTCCATTACCCCAGTATAACCCCAATTTGGTTTAGGGTTCTGAGTGCTGGAGAACTCAGGTGGGGGCTAAGCCGGGTAAGCTCAACCCTAAACCTAAAGGGTTATATTGGGGTTATATTGAGGTTATATCGGGATAATGGCAAATAATATGGAAACTACTATTACTACTTTTCTCTTAGTTCCCAGCACTATGGCTCAGGTAATGCCACTCCTAATCCACGAAGGAACCCAATCAGAAAAACCTGGGTTGCTGTTAAGGAATTTAAATTAAGTTACCGTAATGGGTATATATAGGAATTAATGTAGTAACTTAGATTAAGCTCTTGAATCAGTGGTCCAGGCTGGTGGCTTTGTCCACACGAACAGCCCATGGAGCTGACGAGCAAAGCGAGAGTGAAGGTCTCTGGGAGCAGGCTGGGGGTGTTTGTAGGTTATATTACCGAAATGGCCTTAAATTGGGAATTCAAATTATTCTAAATTACCGCCGCATTCCCCAGACCCCTACGAGGATCTAGAGAGTAGATCCCCAGAAAGCAGATCCCAATTCAGGGTCCCTATGATGGCCCAATAGTAGTATAAGGTACCATATGGAGGGGTCTGGGTCGTTGGTGACGATCAGTTTAATGCCATGAATGGTTACCAATGTTATGGTAGTGGATTCCTTGTAGAGCTGTTGTGTAGGGTGCCTCAAACAGACTTCAACATGATATGAGCCATGGTCTAGTAGTCCCCTATAGAATACACTACAAAACCCCACTTTAAGGAGTTTAGACTATGGCTCATATTGGTAATTGTTAACATGATTTTGGTAAAGCCCTAAACCCTAAACCCCAATTGTTGAGGCCCCTGTAGTAGATGCTGTGCTTTGGAGGGACTCTGGCTTCTATGAGGTTTAGCTGCTGGAGAGGAGTAGTATGTAATAGTATACTCCTTTATAATATCGTATATTATATAGTATATTCCTCTGTAATATGAGATATTACATAGTATATTCTTGTACAATATTGTAAAATGTGGTATATGACAGTATACTATAGTACGTGCTAGTATATTATAGTATACCCTTTTACAATATAGTATATTGTCGTATATTCTTTTTCAATATAGTACATTATAGTATATTATAGTATGTTATAGCATTTTATAGTATGTTATAATATTATAGTATATTATGGTATATCATAGTATATTATCGTATATTCTAATACAGTCTATTTAGTAGTATAATGACTCCTTCCAGTATCACTCTGAGGAGTATGTCCAGTGGCTGCAGCTGACCGCAAAGGGTCTCCGGGATGCGCTGAGCCTGGAATGCGCCTATGGCAGGACCATCACAGAGCTTCGAATTCATATAGTCCCCCTTAAGGGTTCAGGGTTTAGGGTTTAGGGATATAGTCCCCCTTAAGTAGATAGGGTTTAGGGTTTAGGGTTTAGGGATATAATCCCCCTTCAGTAGATAGAATATGGGTTATATCTGGATCCTGTCATAGTATACCCAGAGCCATATTGCATTCTATCTACTTAAGGGGGACTATATACCCAATATGTAATTCCCCATTGTCTGTATATACCCCTCATATAGCCTTCATATAAAGTCTCCCCATAAGTCTCAACAGTGCCACAGACAACCTTAGGAGGGCTGCATGACCTGAGGGCCCAAAACTGCGCCAGACGAGCTGTACTCTAATGTACTCTAAACTCCTTAGAGAGGGTCTGTAGGGGAGTAGTACAGGGGTTATTCAGGGGGATACTTGGACTTTAGACTATAGCTCAAATGATGAGCATCCATTGTGCTTGTGCTCCCACAGCATATAAAAAATCAAACCTCTTCCGCCAGGAGCGCCTGGTCCATCAGCGCCATGGCAGCTCCCTGTATCCCGCTGGTGCTGCTGGCGCTTTGCATGCCTTTAGAGGTGGTGCGCTGGGGCGCTGGCGCCGAGCCCGGATGTAGGTTAGGGCGGTGAGGGGTGGGCTTGGGGTCTTGGGGTGCAAGCCGTTCTGTTGTTCCACATCCATCAGAAGCCAGACTCCAGGTGTGAGCTCAGCGCTCGACGTGTTGACGGCGCTCTTCATTGGGGGAGCCTCCAGCTGCACGGCCCTGCTCAGCTGCCGCCACCTCGACGGAGGCCGGGGTAGCTGCAGGGAGCTGAAGAATGCGAGCAGGCTTGTCAATCCTTAGAGGACACAAGTCTAAGCCGAGCGAACGCATGCATGACGAATTTCAGACCATGCTTTGGGCAGGCGGCGAGCCCTTGCAGGAGCATGCCTTCCGCGTTGCTTTGCCGCTGGTGAAGTGTGACGCCAAGGGTGGAGAGGCAGCCTGGGTGCCTCGTCTTGGGAAATGGGAAGCTAGCGCAGGCAGCACATGAGCCTGGGGCCTGAGCCGCAGATGTTTGAACCAGCCAGGAACATATGTTGAACAGGAGGTGTATGTGTGCGCTGTAACGTTCGGAGGAGCCCCACTCCTAGACTCCAGATATTCTAGCGGCGGCTAAGGCAGACGGCATTGGGATGATGTGCGCAGTGATGTATGGCGTGATCATACCAGGCTGAGTTGCTGTTGAACAACTTAGATTAAGTTACCATAATGAGTTTATATTGCATATTAGGGCTTCCCCAATATAGTAACCCTAAACCCTAAACCTTATAGTATACCCCCATATAGTAATTTGAATTAAGCTCCTTAACAGCAACCCAGCAGGGCTCCTACTCTACTTGATCCAGAAGCAGCAGAAGGCTCTGGCACCCAGCAGGCAGCGATGTGTGCCCAGGGTTTAGGGTTTAGCGTTAGGCTCTCGGAGTATAAAGGGACTATAGTATAGGGGTATTTATTTTGGGATAATGGAAAAGCAAGTTGAAAATACGGGGGTTATAGGGATTATATAGGGGTTATATAGAGTATATATTGGGTTAATGGAAAGAAACATGGTTTAGAGGTCTTGCTACAGCCCAGTAGTATCCTTTCTTACTGTATTTCTAGTATCTTTAGTAATCGTATCAGTATTGCCATTGAGGTTATCATCATTATCTTTACTGTTGTTGCTATTATTACTACAGGTCCCTAAACCCTTAACACTTCATGGACTCAGCTGGCCTCGCTTTCAGGCGCTTCGTGGGCTGTGCCAAGGAGGAAGACAGTGCATTCGTAGTCTGGGTTGCACTTAAGTTACGTTACTGTATTGGAACTTAAATCAAGGTATTATATTGGGGTATAATACAGGGCTCAGGGTGTAGGGCTTAGGGTTGCTATATTGGGGATATTCCCTTTTATTTACAATATATACATATACCCACTATGGTAAGTTAGATTAAGTCTCTTAGCAGCAACCCAGATTAAGGTAGTTTGGGTGCAGCCGGTTTGGCAAGCTGCTTCGCAATCCGCAGAGGACGGGTTCTGTGGGCCTGGATCTGGAACATTCCTTTCAACAACTAATCAGTGTAGCAGCAGTCGTCCCGAGTTTTGGCAACACATCTCAGCCCGCGCTGCAAGCCGCCTGTGCGTTTCGATCAACTTGATACGGCAATACTGAACAGTACTCTTGAAAGGTTGGCTAAACCCTGAACCCTAAATCC